TTTATGATGTCAGATTTATTACGTATTTTGATGATATTTCCTTTTATATTAAGGCGTTGTTTAACGATTGGTAATATTAAGACTACTTTTTTAGATGAAACAAAAACCCGATTAAAATTTTCTCGCCAAACTGATGTTGTAAATTATTTAATTCGGGCTTGGAGGCTATCTGCAAGAGTTAGTAAAAAAGTTTTTTCATTAGCTATTGACAGATCAAATGGGTATTCTCAACTTCAAAAAGCATTGGATGAAGAATTTAATGCATTAACTAAAGTATTTTTGTTTACTAATTTATTTTAATGCTTTTTCGTGTTGATTTTTTTTATATTACTAAATGTTTTAATTTTTTTAAAAAAATTTTCTTAGATATTTCCCACAAATTTTCAAAATCTTCCAAATCTTCATGTAAGCCGACACCTGGTAAATCATGCATGTCAATATTCAACATGTGTTAACACAGCCATTGGTGTAAAAAAAATGGTACACTGAATCTTTAAATCAATTGTACCACATACGAATAAGCACAACCTTGAACTTACATTACTTTAGCAAGTTAATACTTTACAAACGTTAAGATATTTAGCAGATAGTGGACTAGATGATAGCGCAGACAATACAGAACCACGATTAATATTTAAAGAGTTCATTATTGAACCACGATTACGTCACCTCCTATCAGGTTGGTGTATTGATAATAGTAGCTTTTCTTCAATACATGTTTTAAATAATGCGCAGGATGATGATCAAGGTAATAAATAATTATGTACTGGTAACTTTTATTTATGTTTACCATTACTAAATGTAAAATGTTAATAGATATTGATGATAGAAATTTAACACACTCCAATTGTACTGAAATTAAACTTGGATCGAAGTGGAATAAGCATAAAATTGAAAGTGCTGGATTTATTTCTACAAACCTTGAAAATAATGGACTTTTGGAAAGCATTATGCGAGTATATTCTTCTTATTTTTCTTGGGAACAAGCTTTATTAAAGACAAAGGTTAACTATTATCAAAGTGTTTCATATTCTATAGTTGACCTAATGGGATTATCAACATGTAAAGTTATGCATTAGTGAAGCAGTTGAAACAACTCTGTCTGCTGATAGCCAATCTGCATTTGGAATTATTAAAGGGATAATTGAACACACATGGAACGATGATCAAGTTTATGTGTTTATTTATTTGGACTGGTTAGAAGATCTTAAAAAATGTGATAATTTATTAGGTTGTCCTATCTATTGTCTCCAACACACATGCAATAATTTCTGGGATCGAATTCATCTAATTTCCATCGTATCCAAGTCACCAAATGTTCCATTCGTCCATTATTGTAAGGCAGGATGCTTTTCACAATGATATGATACTATAAATCGTGAATATATCCAAAATGATTTCTTCTTTACGGCAATTTAAAGATTTAGTAGCTTTTAAAAGGTTGGAATGGCCGTTATTATAGTTGAGTCTCACATCAATTTTAATAGTTAGTATTAATTTGACACTAACATTACCACTTTTATCTTTCATTAATATGTCGCACAAAATGTCTGGGATCTGCTTGATTTTGTCGCACAAGAGTACATTCTTGGGAAATTAAAAGTATTACGTAAGTACTATTTTCATATATCTGATATATAATTATTATACGATGCAGTGTGATTATTACCGATATAGTATTAATTATGTGTGGTTTCGGTATTGATTTTGTGCTGGTTACAAGAGTTGATCTATTAAGATTAGTTTCAGTTTATACTAGATAGAATTCTTGATCGCAACATATAAGCTTTAATATAGCATAATTAAATGCAAATATTTGGCTATAAATGTCCTGTATATTTAAATGCAAATTAAAAATAATTGAAATTTAAAGATTATTTCATCCATTAAAATGGTATAAAATTGCTAAATTAAACCAACTTTAAGGAAAATTTTGCGATAAAAAAGTTCATTATCAGCGATATTAAGTGGCTTAATTTTAGCAATAAAATAAGGCAAAAAAATGCCAATTTTTACTTAATCCCATTTCGGAAAAATTAGTATAGTTGTTAAAACTTCAATAATAAATTTTTTATAAATAGTCTCAATTTATTGAAATTGATTTATGATCATTTTAATACTCAGTAACTGCATTTAGACTAATATATTACTATAATAAACTAATACTTTACCAGATTGTATTGAATTTATAACTGAACATTATATTATTTTATTTTGTTACTATTTGATCACTAATTATACATTTCAGTTAAGTTTATGTATGCTCTTCCTAATTCACTTTGTTTGAATATTCATATTATCGTATCTATTATTATAATTTTAGCAAAAAAAATTCATAGTATATTTAATCATTTAATTAAGAATATATAATTTTTTTTTTCTTTTTTTTTTCTTATTTTTATCTAATTTTCTCTTTTACTTCACGCCTATATTCAAAAAATTTGTACAATAAAATTTTTTTCTACCGCAAAAAAGGTCAGAACAGAAACTGAAATTGAAATCAATTTTTTCCTTTATAGATAATTGCGTTCGTAGTAATACATGAATTTTCAAATAATTTATGTATTATTAATTTAATTAAAAGTTAATTCTTAAAAACCTTTTCATAACATTCATGATATTAATTACTTTACAGAAACTTGGTTTTCTTAATACGCAGTAACTGCAAAGTGACTAAATAGTAAATATATTATTACTACCTTACTTAGAAGTAGCTTAATCGCAACCTAATAGGTACTATACAGCTACTGAATAGTAAGAAAACAAAGTTTCTGTAAAGAATATTTATAAGCTTAACACAAAATAAATCATTAAAAAGAACGAACTGCTGTAACTTGTTTAAATGAGTATTGTTAGATATAAATACATTTCTCTTTCGTTTCAAGATTTATTAAAATCAAATATTAAAATCAATATAGAAAATAAAAACAGCCTAGAACATCACTTTCTGAATTTGCCATACTAAATACCATATAGAACGATTTGTCTGGTAGATTAAATTCCACCTTTTGATTAATTGCATCACCAGCTTTAATTGGACATCCACTTCCAGTACAAGCATCAAAAAAAATGAGTTCTGCTAAGGTAGCTCCATTTTTATCACTAAATGCAACCACAAGTTTGGTTTGTTCAGTAACGTCATTCTTCAATATTCTAGTAACAATAGCTGTAATCTTTTGATTAACCTTATACCTTATAAAATGCTACACAGAGTAATAAAAGGTTTTGTGGATATGAATAATAGCCAGATCTTTTAAGAAGTTTATGTGGAATTGCATTGAGCATGAAAAGCGTGAACAATAAGAGGAATGCAAATATAAATTTTCAGTTCATGATTATGATTTCTTTAAAAAGTTGAGTTTGTTGAGTTTTTTTTTTGGTGAATGTTAGTTATCAAATAAGCTTGGATTCTTAAAAATCATTGCCCTTTTATAAGGAAAAAAGTAAAAAAAAAAATCATATTCCCATCAGTACTTTTTCATCATGATTAATACCAAATTTTGTTGATATACCATTTTGTTTCTTTTTGAAATAATTTCACAGTAAGAAAGATTTAACATGAATTTTTGATGAATTAAAAAATCTTCCATAGTAAATTTAAAAGAAAGCGATCATTTCGAAAATTTGAAAATCATTACTAAGAGGTCTGAGACGATCAAATAATTTACCTTCTTGTTTTAGCACTATTTTATAATTAATAAAATGAAATTATAGTAATGAATATTATTTCTTAAATTGAAATAAAGTTTAATTAATTGTAACCCGAACCTGAAAATAAAAAGGAAATTGACGCAAGAAGAAAATCAACCGCTTTGTGATCGGTGCCTCTCTTTTATCTCGATCTAACCAGATTTAGGTTAGGAAATATTCACAAAAAGAATTAGAATAAAAGTTCGATTTGTGTTTCATAAAAAATTATAGTTTTTCTTTTTAACTTTATTTATTTAAATTAATCTTTTGTAGAATTGATATAAAGATAAATCCTGAAGTTAGCTTCTTTTTTTTTTTATCGAATTCTCTGGTGTTCGATTACTATTACTAATAATGACGAAGCCAGAATATTTAACTCAAGCTAAATCCATAACTCGCAAGTGAAATATTTTGGTATGGTATTCATAATTTAATAATATTAATTATTATTATCATAATAAATTTAAAATTATATAAAACATAATTTAAATTACAAATTAAAAAAGTAAGTTTCGAAATAAATGTATATAATCAAAAGTTTATTTCAACATTCTAATGTATTATTTTCGATCGTTAAACGTTGAATTCATTTCTTATTATAATAGGAAGAATGACGTCGAAGGTAGAATTTATTTAAAAGAAAGCTTATTGAATTTTTATGTAAAATTTGTATTTTTAGTATCTCGATTGCATAATTTGATTCTGCGCAACTTTCGCTCCTTGATTGTTTTAAATTACGATTTGAATGCTGTTTACTTAAAGGTTTAACATCTCAGATAGTTTATTACCAAATATTTTTAAAATGCCTATAAGTGGAAGTTAATATTCTTATTACGGTTAATGCTAGGGATGTTAATGGTCACGATCATGTCTGGTCATAATAGGTCATAACTGTAACCGACCGGTTGACCCACTGACTTAAGACTGAATAACCATGTTTTAAATGTAAAAAATGCTTTGTATTAAATTATCAAAATCAACATTTAATTATCTATATATTAAAATTTTGAAATTTTAAAAGTCCGCGATAATGCTGCGCTACTAAATAAAAATAATATAGTAGTTTTAAAAATGTCATGCTAGAATTGTTAAAGCAAGAATCAAAAATTATAATGTGTTTAAATTAAAACTTTCTATTAAGCCAAAACTTCTCAATTATACTACTATTAACCGATCGGTCAACCGGTCAGTTAAATTCGATTAGTTAACCGGTGTTAGTTACAAAACTTCCCTGGCATCACCGCATTTGACTGGAATTAATTGTGGCACACATGTGACGAATAATGATGATAAATAGGATTTCACCTACCGAAAAGGGTAGATAAAAAACCGGTACAGTACGATTTACCAGACCAGTACAGTACAATTATACAGATCAGTATTTTTTGCGAAATTTGGATCGTATCAGTACAATGATGGTATAGACTAATTTTATAAAATTCGTATTGTACTGTACTGATCCTATAATAACTAAGCCCTATTATAGACCCAGTACAGTATGGTATAATGTCAAATTTCGTATTTTTGTATTTTTTCTTTTTTTTTTATCTAATATATTTTTATTTTTATTTTTTAAATTTCTTTCCAGTATATATATTTTTTTAATTGATTTTTTTCTTTTTTTTCTTTATTTTATATTTTATTATATTTTTTTTTAAATTTTCCCAGACTTTTTATTTTATTTTATTTTTTTTTTTAATTAATTTTATTCCCCTTCTACCGGACTTTTTATTTTATGTTTATTTTTTTTTATTATTTTTATTCCCCTCCCACCGGACTTTTTATTTTTTTATTTTCTTTTTTATTTTCTTTTTGTTTAGTTCCTTTTAGTTTTCTTTTTTTTTATTCTTTAATTTTTACTTTTTTTTTCATTTCATTATTTTTTTTTATAATTTTTTCATTTACTTTTTTCGTTCATTTATTTATTTATTTATTTTTTTTTTAGTTTTTTCTTATTAATTTTTATTTTGAGTAATACTATTTGGTGACCCTGTCATCATGGCGACCCTATCACGTGATTCGAGTTTGATTGGATAGAATGTAATATTTTTTTTTATAATATCGTTAGTAGGTATCAAAATTTAACAGCAAAATTTTATTTATCTTAATGTATTTAATGTTTCTTAATGCTAATGTAAAGGTTTTACTTAAACAATAAATATTTTTCACGTATACAATGTATCATGCATAAACATCCCATATATTTATTTAAGTTAACACATATGCAATAAAGAATAGTGTAGACTAAACTAAAATTATACGATGCATACATGCATACACATTAAAATTCCTTCAAACTATTTGATTCTCCTTTCTTTTGCAAGTTTTGCTATTATGACCCGATTGTTTGCATAACTTATATCTATATGTCTTAGTATTAGACTCTTCTAAAATACTATTAATTCTTTACTTAGGACGACCTTTCGGTCTTCGTAAAATAGGATTCTGGATCTCTAAATTGTTATCATCATTCTAAGTGTTGAAATTTTCTCCGCTACTACCAAGAATTTTGTGTTGTGATATTTTCTGCTGAATAGATCGAAAAAATTCTAAAACCTCATAATAAGTATTCTCATTACCTTCTTCAATAACATCACTCATAATTTTTTTCCCTAAATCAAACAATTCTCCGAATTTGCGCTTTTTTGAAATAATATTAGATATTTCATTACTATCATTAATTATCACAATTTCTCCGATTTGATTAGCATCGAAACTTAGTGATTGTAAAAATTGAGTTGGCAATGAATAATTCTTTGATGTTGATGCATTTAAGGAAATGACAATAAATTCATTATTTGATATGTTGATTCCTTGCAATTGATCTTTATACCAACGCTGATTTATTAATCTGATATGGAATCAGACGATTAGTGTAAGAGTTATTAATTGATAAAAGTGGCAGTTTATATATTCATGCGATCTGAACATCATACATGTACAAAGAAAGGTACTGTCATTCAAAAGGTATATTAAGTGTGATGTTTTCAGATTTGCTAAATGTAAAATTTCCTAGGCTTCAAGGACAGTCGAAGTATCTTCTAGAAAGGAATTCAAACGGATTTGTGAAAATTCAAACAGGTTATCAATAAATCTGTCTGATTCGTCAAGTACCTAAGGTAAGACAATTATTTCAGTAACATTGAAAAGTGACTCAATTATACAACCAAATAGCATAAATTACTAACATTTTCTTTAGAACGCGCATTTTCGAATTCAATCTCTGTAGCATGATAACAGAGACTTAAGTTCATTTGCTCCTCCTGTTTTTTAATAATATTTGGCATTAAGAATTCGTGCAATTGTCTTACAACAGGCCCAAAAATAGATTTTGATACATTCTGAGGTCCTAACTGCGGCACAGATTGCTTCCAACTCACAAATTCACAATAATCATTTTCTTCCTGATACCTTTCTTCTAATGCATCAAATAATTCACATAATGAAAGACTTGAACTTCTGAAAAGTCATTTTAATATAGCATTTTCACCTTCATTACGAGAGGTTGATTGTGCATCAGCAGTAAAATATCTATTAGTAAATATACATGTTCACGATTGAGGATTGCATCCTAAAACCTTTGTTAAATAGTCTTTTGATTGTGAATAATTCTGTAGCAAAGCATTCCATCTTTATTGAATAAATTGATAAATGTAACAATAAAAAAAAAACTTTAAATACGATGCAATAAACAATGAAATAATAATGCTTATAAATTAACAATGGTAATACCTTTCGTTAAATTGTTCCTCTTTTAAACTGTTCCTTGCAGTATAGAAATCTTTCATAAAGTCACTGAAACCTGAACCCAACTTTCCTTTCAATTGTTTTAGTAGATTTTGACTTATATGCCAAATACAATGCATATGAAAAGCATCAGGAAATCGTACCATAACTGCAGTATTAACTGCAGGATCACCATTAGTTACGAAAACTCTTGGTGGTATACTGGTTGCTTCTTTTACACATTGAAAAACCCATTCATAGGAAAGCTGTGTTTCATCATCAACAATCGCCTGAGCTACAATTTATGTCTTTAAATTATTGTCTAGAGTGACAAAAAGAGATAATGGATGATTATAACGGTTGGTTTTGTAGGTATTATCATGCATGACAACATCATGATAGCGTAACCACAAAATTTGTTATTCTGAACTCATCCAAAAAAGATGTGTTAACAATGAAGTAACTGGATCAAAATTCATTGAGATTACTCATTATGGATCTCCAATTTTTTTATCATAAAGTCTCTTTAACAATAAACCTGTATTCTCTTCACCTAGTGTTACTTCACGACGAAATTTACCGATAGCGTTATAAAGATCTGGCCAGTATATTCTCGTCTTAAACTTTTCTCGAATAATTCAGTATTGTACTGTTGCGTTCACTTTAGCAATAACGGTTAAAAATCAAATTTCTTCAAGAATTTCTTCCGGCAATTTTCGTAATGTTAGAATGAATTTACTTGCTGATGGATGACACTCGTGTCCAATATGAATATCATTAAATTTTGTGACTTCTAAACAGCCCTTTCCCTTCTTAACCCAAATATTAACTCGCTATGGACATTCTATTCGACAAGATGACACATTTGATTGTGTTGTTTGTTTGGATATGGCTTTTCCAACATGATGACACAAATACTTTCACTTTATTATTTCATTTGTCATTTTATCGATTTTTCCACTATCACCTATTCGTATCCCATAACCTTTAGCGGTCGCATACCTTTTCATGAACTTTGCAACATGATCCCAACTTTGAAAAGATTTACCAACAAAAAGGTTCGTATCCTTTTCTATATCTGCAATTTCATCAGATATAC